ATCACGTGACAGTACAAAAACACTTCCGAAACCCATAGGCAAACAGGTGACAGCGGTTCGCACATGAGAGGGTACCACCCCCTCCCCCTGCCAAATTCCAAAGAGAAATTCAAACACAGAACAAGTAACATAAAACCCTTGGCTCCTGTGAGTGTTCTAAACTTGTTTGTGCATTTGTGCACGTGAGTGTGAATAATTGCAATATTTGCCAAGACAAGTAAGCCAATAGTTTATTAAAAGTAACATTCTCTGCACATTCTGAACTACGTCCATGAGCGGTGCAATGCTGTTAAAACACGGTTACTAAAAGAAGGAGCCGTGGTTAAAACGGTAGGATATCTTCATGAAAAGAGTGCGCCCTCTGTAGGACATGCTATAAACAAAGTGATTCCAGAAATTTATTTTCTTGTTCACTTTTGACACAAGTTCATTTCAGTTCTGATCAGTATAAGTTTGGCTGTTCCCAAGATAAACACCCAACACTTTCAACCCTACACTGTTCCATTTGATATTTGAAGGAGAATTAGTATTGTTGCGCCAGCTACCAGTCCACAACCCTTCAGATTGTTAACTTGTAACCAGTGAGCAAGTGAACTGAAATCTTGTTATGAAAAATTCTACGTCATTAGCATAAGCAGTAAGTTTACAATGCTGTTTATTGCTGTGTGGTCCTTCAATGTTTTTATCATTTCTGATTTTCTGGAGTAGTGGCTCAATGGCTATGACGTAGAGGGCAGTGGGCATTGAGCAGCCTTGTCGAATAAGACCCCCTAGCCACTGTGATGGGTGCAGTGAGGGCGCAATTAACACGAATCTGAGACTGAACATGGGCATAAATGAGGCGAATGTAAGAAATGAATCGGTCACCAAAGACATAAAGTGTGTTGAAGAGATAGCTAAGATTTATTCTATTAAATACCATTTCTTAGTAACGTTAGCATAGTTAATGCTGTCACGTATGAGACTAATGTTGTCATGAATATGCCTGTTGGGAACGCTACAAGTTTAGTGTGGTTGAACAGTGATGCCAATGACCCCACGCAGTCGCAGATTTTGTAATCACTGCATAACAGACTCACAGATCGCCAGTGCTTTAGGTAATCACCTGACATCACCTTTTTAGGAAAGAGAGTAAAAACTGCTCTTGTACAAGATAGAGGGAGCGCATTTTCGTTGATGGCAGCAGTAAAAACACAGATCTCTCTCAATAATATGCCAAAACGTTTGGTAAAATTCGTTTGGTATGCCATTAATTGCCAGGCGTATGTCAGGTATCTCAGGTATCTATTACGATCTATTTCAAGTTCCGGGTGCCCCGGGAAAAATGTTGGAGGCGTCGTTGATGCGACACAGTTGAAGAGGAATGTCTGTCTTGCACCTCAAAATGTAGGAAATGGCGGGTCAGAGGATCTAGATTTCTAAATTTGTCCGGAGGAGCATGCCCCGGACCCCCTAGTAAGGTGGTGTCAGCCAATGTATCAGTGGTTACCTTTCACCTGTTGCATACCTGTTGTAAATATATTTCTACTGGATGAGCTAAGCAGCTAATTTGTGACTCAATGCAATTCGTGTAATTCAATATGATAAGTTTATGTACCAGGTGCGATATCGTAGTGCGATGTAGTGTGGTGTAATGTAGTTTATTGTATTTTTATTGATATTAATTGTTTCACCTGTAGACAGCCATTTTCTCTGTCCGATTTGTCAATAGCTATTGTGACAGAGCCCATATCAGGGAAAAGACAACCATTCTTGTACCAGTATCTTAGGATTAAAAAAATAAACATGAAAAAGCAAGTAATGCTCAAATCAATTAGTCTTTATTATAGGCCCACACTCTCTGAGATATTTCCTTGAACTTTAAGATTAAACTATTCCCAAACAAAGTGTAACGAACAAAAAAAAACAGACTGACAGAGATGAACAGACAGACAGACAGACAGACAAACGGACAGAAAGACAGACAGACAGGCGAAGAAACAAAAAATGAGATTTCTGTCAATTCGTACCCATAGTCTTGATGCCAGTTGAACTGGCCCCCAGTATGTGCCTCCTTCATTATCAGCTTACTGTGATAGTGATAAACCTCGCCTCCTAGCAACTGAAATAGAATAAAGGCATAAGTGTCTTGACAATACGTAGACTGTTCGTCATTGGTTTTGTAAGATTAAACTATGTTTACCAAGCCTTGTTTACATAGACACAGAAAAAGGAATATATTTACTTGTTCCATTGTACCAGCAATCTTCTCGCACCTTGCCAACATACCAGAGACGTCATTTCCGGGATGATTCCAGAGACACATTTTTATTTTACGCCCATCACCGTCATCATGGCCGTACATGTATTTAATCACCCCTTCTTCGTTTTCAACAGCTGATGTCAAAATAGAAGTCTCTTTCTCACTGAGAACGGACCTACAAACAATTAAATGTTTTGGGAGAAATAGTGTGTGTTGGCGCTGCTTATGCTGTGTTCTAATGCCACTTGTTATATTGAAAAAAAAGTCATTATTATAGATATATTTCCAATTGTACCAATGTATTTTACAATATTAACCCCTCGTAACCCCCTTTCAGTACTGAAATATCAGAAATATATTGATCAATCAGGAAGCCGACTAATGACCACACAACACTGCATCATTTGTTACCTCAATATTATGTATCCATCTTCGTCAAATTTCCGTTTTATTTCGTCTGTCACTCGGAAATCTTCCGTGAATTGATATTCTGTAACATTTTAAAAAAGACAATTTTTGTGGTGCAAATACTACCTTCTTATGAATCGCGCCCTCTATAAACAGAGTGCTTCTGTGACGTCAAAATGACGTATATTGGTGTTTGGGTTGTGTAGTATATATATAATATAATGAAATCTCTCACAACAAATCTGTATTGATGGACGGCTACAGAACAAAACAATATCGACGCTTCGTACGGTCCTTGCGGTTAGAACAACGAAAGTATTTCAGACACCACACACCGCCATTTTGTGGTAAAACATAAGACTTTTACTACGCGTATTCTTGGCATTTTCTTGTTGTTAGGTGGCCCTTTTGTTGATTTCCTACTAACAAGTTTTAAAATATATCATTGATAGCTGATAATGACTTTTTTTTTTCGTAAACGCAAAGAAAAGAGTGAAATAATTATAAATTACAAAAGAAAATAACTCCAATGCGGAATAACGGTTACTAAGGTGTTACTCGGTTCTTCAAGATGACAGGCTTGCCGATTACCGCGGAAGAAATATAAACAAACGAAAATACGTCGTAGCATTGGTGGGTAACTTGTCCTACTGTCATGGATTAGTTTACGCATATCTGTTAATCGTTGATTATTAGCTGAATTGCTGTGTTATGTCTGTCATCGTTTAGGCCTATTTGAAGTTTTGGACGGAACTTGGCTCAGTGATTTGGAACTAATTACGAGATAACCGTCGCTATTTTGACTATTAATTCTGACAGTTGGTATTCGTAGTTATTAATGTAGTGAACGATTAATCAAAAGATATGACGTATTCAGTACTTAGTGCGATTGGCCTTATGATTGAAGGTTACGCCCTAGAGTCTTTTTACTGTTTTGTAATTGGTTAGAGTTTTGAAAATGAATAAAGGGAGTTTGAGTTGGTCTTGGGGAGTACAGCACGACAGACGCAGTCGAGAGTCCAGTCCTGGAGAGCCTTGGGGCGAGTGTTGACGCAGTCTAAAAGAGTCTTGGGTCAACCTTGCGATAGTCTTGGGGACTTTTCCCCAGGGCGCTGTGTCTTATAGAGTGCTCGATTGACCGACTAAGACGAGAGCTGAAACGTATTTCGTTGTGTGTGTCTTATTTGACTGTAAAGTGAAGTGACTTTCCCGATCCCATACCTCAAGGGGACGAGATAGAGAGACGAGACGAGATTCCCCCCCCCCCGGCAAGTGTGGAAAACCCCGAGGAGAAGGATTTTACCCCTGATACTACTACCATATAATTTGTGCTACAGAAAATCAAAAATGAGCTTCTCATTTTGAGAACAGCCGAGTTTTAACAAACATCGCTTATAAGCCTGTATATTACACCTGATTTTTTGAGCGAAGTGGCAAGTCCGGTACTACAAATTTGTTTTATTGTAATATATAGACCTTGAGAATATCATATACCAAAATTACCAAGAATCATTTCATGGAAACATTGCATAATGACGTCATCAATATGGCCGTCATTTAACAACAATATAATGATGATTGTAACAACTATGATAAACCATACATTTAGAGTATCAAAATGGAGCTATTGATATTTTTAATATAGCGTAATGTATATACATGTATTTACTAGTTTCCATGGTTACCGATTGGTATTTATTTCTAAACCGGCAAATGTTTTGCTAAATATGTCATTGTAATTATTAGTAGTAGTAGTAGTAGTGGTACGTGTATTATTTGCAGTGGAGAGAAACTGATACTGAAATACAAATTAAAATAACAGAAAAAAGTCTGCAAAGTCTGCAAATTCTTTGAGAGTGTTCTATGGTGTGCCAGTATGGCAGAGTGTAAACCTTCGTCTTGCAGCAAAACGTAGGGCGCGCCTTATAGGAAAAATGTATTACCATTCTTCAGCTAATATTAGGATAGTGCAGTGCCGGCGATTATAGAGATATACAATTGATCAAAGTTCAGAATATCACACGCAGTTTTAAAAATATGGACGGGCACGTTATTGATGGTGGACGACGAGCAATTCATCTGTCAGATTGACTGCTGCCCTGACCACGGTTACTAATACCGTGCCCTGACTCGCAACAGTCTTGATTACCTAAACTATAATCTGAAATAAATAGGAGATATACGACTGCACGACGCCGGAATCCGCCTATGTCAGTCATATGAATACAGTGATAATATGTACAATCGATGGCGAACGCCGTCCGACGGGCGAATTGTTCGTATTCGTGTGGCTGTTGTTACTACCGTGGCGCTCCCATATCCCACACTTGTCGGATCCAATGGATATCTAAAGTATAATTATTATATACATATTCGCTGCAAGGCACACAGCCAAAAAAGGCGGCGTTGCACGGGATTGTTGGAGTAAATAAACAACACCTACCGTTCATGGTGCTGCACGGAAACGTATAAGGTCACACTGTCCTGACCCCAGTGACTCACAATAACAACCTTTCTTTCATTTTTGTGTACATTACATTACGCAAAGGAAATCTAGATGCAGAAATAGAGATGCAGTTTATTTGTGAATTTCAATCAAAAATAGTTTTTTTCGTTTTTTATATACATTTTTATCTAAAGAACATTCTGTGAAAATTTGACCAATGAATTTTTATTGGAACACCGTTAAAATTGCTGGTTATTTTCTGGTTAAAAATAAAAAAAAACACTCACACGTGGCAATGTTTATGTCCAATTGCCTAATTTGCATGAGTAATCAAATAACAGGACCTTTGATTGACAATATGCAAATCGAGATAGTTCATTCAATCACGCGCATGTGCAATTATTCTCAAATCAGTTATCGCTCGCTAGCAAACCAAACATTATACATATTTCCTCAGCGTTTTTTCCTAATTGACTCCCATGTGCGAAGCACAAAATGGGAGTCTTTGTAGTTAGTGTGTCTGTATGTGTGTGTGTGTGTATGTGTGTGTGTATGTGTGTCCAACTGTTCCACTGCTATCTCAAGAACCATACATCGGTTTTTGATGAAACTTGGTGCATAGATGCTCTGCGCCAATGCGCAGATTTGATTAGGTTTTGGTAAAAATCCATGCTCGTTAATTACCTAATTTGCATGATAATTAGCTAATTTTTAGCTGTTCTATGACTGTTCCACTGATATCTAAAGAACCACTCATTGGATTTTGATGAAACTTGGTACATAGATGCTCTGAACATATGCGCAGATTTGATTAGTTTTTGGTAAAAATCTGTGCATATTAATTACCTAATTTGCATGATAATTAGCTATTTTTTAGTGGTTCCATGACTGTTCCACTG